ACACTGCAAAGCTCCAGTCAGACATCAACCAAATCTTTCAGTGGGCTGCAGAAAACAATATGAAGTTCAACGATGAGAAATTTCAATTACTCAGATATGGTAAACATGAGGAAATTAAATCTTCATCAGAGTACAAAACAAATTCTGGCCACAAAATAGAGCGAAACACCAACGTCAAAGACCTGGGAGTGATCATGTCGGAGGATCTCACCTTCAAGGACCATAACATTGTATCAATCGCATCTGCTAGAAAAATGACAGGATGGATAATGAGAACCTTCAAAACTAGGGAGGCCAAGCCCATGATGACACTCTTCAGGTCACTTGTTCTATCTAGGCTGGAATATTGCTGCACACTAACAGCACCTTTCAAGGCAGGTGAAATTGCCGACCTAGAAAATGTACAGAGAACTTTCACGGCGCGCATAACGGAGATAAAACACCTCAATTACTGGGAGCGCTTGAGGTTCCTAAACCTGTATTCCCTGGAACGCAGGAGGGAGAGATACATGATTATATACACCTGGAAAATCCTAGAGGGACTAGTACCGAACTTGCACACGAAAATCACTCGCTACGAAAGCAAAAGACTTGGCAGACGATGCACCATCCCCCCAATGAAAAGCAGGGGTGTCACTAGCACGTTAAGAGACCATACAATAAGTGTCAGGGGCCCGAGACTGTTCAACTGCCTCCCAGCACACATAAGGGGGATTACCAACAGACCCCTGGCAGTCTTCAAGCTGGCACTGGACAAGCACCTAAAGTCAGTTCCTGATCAGCCGGGCTGTGGCTCGTACGTTGGTTTGCGTGCAGCCAGCAGCAACAGCCTGGTTGATCAGGCTCTGATCCACCGGGAGGCCTGGTCACGGACCGGGCCGTGGGGGCGTTGACCCCCGGAACTCTCTCCAGGTAAACTCCAGATATGGTTCAAAACCATAGAATTCATCTTCAGCTCCACTTCCATCAGTCTTAGAACTGTAAGTTGTGAAGAGGAGAGTCAGAATTCGCCCGGAGAGTGAGTGGGGAGTGAGAGCTTCCTTGCCGCCAGGCACTATGAACAAAGCTACTTTGCTGGCGTTCCCACAATGCCATGCGGGCATCCAGATTTTTTCTATGGTGTGCACACTGACCACCCAGACCCATTCTCTCAGATGTAGGCCTACCAGCCTTCTCGTGCTAAATTTGCCACCACTAGAATTTTGGCGTAGATCTACGGTTTGGACCCTGAACATAAAGCCGTAGATCTACGGGACGGACCCTCAAAGGGTTAAAGTGCAGCCAATACACTTCCCATTTCCAGTACTCAAGTCCAACTATATAAAAATAACTGTTTTTTTTAATCCCTTCACGAAATATTGCCCTGCTCACACTCCAACAGCTCGTCAGGTCCCAAAAACCATTCATCTCCATTCACTCCTATCTAACATGCTCATGCACACTTGCTAGAAGTCCAAGCCCCTCACCCCCAAAACGTCATTTACCCCTTCTCTCCAACTTTCTCAAGGGCGACCCCTACCCCGCCTTCCTTCCCCTACAGATTTATATGCTCTCCGTGTCATTCTACTGTGATCCATTCTCTCTAAATGACCAAACCACCTCAACAATCCCTCTTCAGCCCTCTGACTAATACTTTTATTAATGCCACACCTTCTCCTAATTTCCACATTCTGGTAGAGTTATTATTGAAAGAATTAGAGGTAAGACAGAGCAGGATTGCAGAGGAGCAAGGAGGCTTTAGAATGGGTAGGGAATCTGTAGATCAAGTATTTACAATGAAGCACATTTCTGAACAGTATTTAGATAAAGATAGGTAAAAGTAGGTCTTAGACAGGGATATATAATGTCACCATGGTTGTTTAACCTGTAAACGGTCCAAACGTACACACATGTATATGTTTTTACCACTACTGCCCCAAACGTATATTTACGTTTCATTTTTCATTCCTTCAAAATTGGCACGATTGGCCTGAGTCACCTAGACGTGAAACAATGGGTGTGCGCACTCAGTGTGCGCCCTATGAAAAAAATCAGGGACACCTGGGTACTGCATGGTAGCACTAGTTACATTCAGCTCCATCTTCGGTCAACATCATGGCACATCCTCGTGATTCATTCACATCTCGTCGTATTAGCACTCTATTATTTGAGGCAAGTGATACAGAACATCAGTTTAGTGGCTTTGACACAGATGTGGCTACTAATAATCAAGGAAATAGTGAAAATATTGACGATAACCCAGATGACCCTCAGCCCACACAAGACCCTGGGCCAAGCACCTCTGGAGTGGCAAATGTTACCCATAGGCAACTACGCAAGAGAAAAGTATCATTTTCCCGGTGTTTTAGTGACAGTGAAAGTGATGTAAGTGATGACGAGACTGATTTTATGCCATTAGAGGATTCGTCTAGTGACAGTGATCATTATTCACCAGTGAAGCGTACTTTTAGGCAACATCACCTACGTTCAGGCAGTGTGCCATTTGTAGTCAGCATCAAGGGTCATGGCAGGTCATGATCCAAAACCCCAGCCACTGATAGTGAAAGTGATCATGAAGGTGAATATGCGGGGATGGAGGAAGTAGTGGTGAGTGGCACGGTGCCTGGACCACATGGTGCGGTGGGTGGACAGACAAAGGACCACCCGGCACCCCCTAACCATGTGCTGCCTCCACTTCTGTCCTCCCCCCTGCTCCCCCACGCCCCATGCCAGAGGTCCACCCTGCACCATGTGGCCAAGAGTGGAACTGGACACAAAGTATATTCGTGCCACAGCCTTTTCATTTTGATGTGAGTGGAAGTGGCATCCTGCCAGAATGTCCCATAATGAATGAGTCTACAGAGTTAGACTTTTTCCAGTTATACTTTGACGAGCCTATAATGAACTTGGTAAGTGACCCAGACGAACAATTATTACCGCTATATCAAGGACAATGCAGCAGAGGTTGGGGAATCGTAACGGCTGCGCAGATGGAAAGATACAACAGTGACTGAAATGCATTTATTCCTTGCCACTGTCATGCTTATGTCACATACCTATAAGAACAATATACGTAACTACTGGACCATAGACTACTTTATCAGTACTCCTGTCTTCCGTGACCTCCTTCCCTGCAACAGATTCACTCTGTTGCTATGAATGTTGCATTTCTCAGACAGGAATAGGCCCAACAGAAATGGCCTTCTATACAAAATCCGGGAAGTGTTTATCTATATGAAGAATAAATTCAGTGCATACTTTTATCCCTTCAAGAACATTGTTGTTGACGAGTCCTTGATTCTGTTCAAGGGACGCCTGTCATTCAAGCAATATATACTGAGCAAACGTCATCACTTTGTTATAAAACTTTTTGTCGTGTGTGACTGTGAGAGTGGTCTTGTGTTGGATGTCAGTGTATACACCAGGAGAAACACACTCGACGATACCAGGCGCATGTTGGGCATTTCTGGTGATGTTGTCCGAAAAATGATGGAACCATACCTTGGCAAGGGCCATACATTGTACATAGACAACTGGTATACACTGGTATACACAACCATTTAATTAACTACAGAAACTCAAGACTTATCGCCACAGAAGACAACACTCAATATCGAAGAATCCTGGAATCATCGCTTATCTCTATAACCAACAATTTCAACCAGAACAATGGCTTCTATAACATAGCTGAACCACTTGCCAAGAAACTTCTTCATCGCTATCCCACATAAGAACATAGAACACTGCTGAAGGTCTGCTCACAACTTATCCAATATCCTTTCCAAGCTACCCAAGATTTTAGACTCTATAACCCCACCCGGTAGATCATCAGATGCAGCATTCTCCACCTGACCTCAACATTCTGAACCTGACTATAAATGCTCATGTACCTTCCACCCCAGGTAGATCTGTTTGTGAATTGAAAAAGCCCACTGTGTGGGAGAAAACGTTGTCAGTAAAGGATCACATTAAACTGCATATGTGTTTATGTTTCCAGTTTGAAGGGACATCTAAACTGTCATATCTGGGTGCCTTTGCAAAGACAGTAATTATGTATGAGTGATGGTGAAAGTGTTGAATGATTTTGAAAGTTTTTCCTTTCTTTTTGGGTTTTTCTTTCTTTTTGGGTCACCCTGCCTTGGTGGGAAACAGCCGGTGTGTTAAAAAAAAATGGTATTTAATAGAAATGAGAGAAAATAAAAATCAGCCACACACAATACAAACCATGTAACAAACTAACAGACATAAGATAGTGTCATCAAACTCACCACTGACAAACTTGTCACCAGAAAACCACATAAATCAATCAGTAAGAAATGCCTCTGCAGATGAATGGAGAAATGTTGAGAGTTGTTCATCATACTTTACATCAAAACTGGAGTATACAGTGGCAGTATATTGTCTGCACCTTAAAAATATATTTAATTATATAAAAGGGGAGCAAGCAGCACAAATTTCTTAGATTAAGAACCCTTCACCAGTATAGTCACTCCTTCCCTCCCTTGAAACAAAATGGCAAGTACATTGCAATTATAATACTAATGTGGATGAGTTCAACACGTAAGGGGAAGTTAACTTAAATTCATTGGATCAAGAGATGCACATAGTATGCCTACCCCATATCTTGCTGGGTGCTATAAGAAACAGGCCTTAGGCCAGCAACTTCCCTAGCAGGAGCTAGGAAAGTTGCTGGCCAAAGGCCTGTTTCTTATAGCACCCAGCAGAGAAGTGGCACTGAGGTGAGTCTGGGCAACCAGCACTTGGCCTCATTCCAACACTGCCTTTCCTGAGGACAAAACCTGCTCTCCCCTTAGGAACCTTGGCTCTGGGTTTCCTTCATTTGCATCTGTCTGGAAAAAACTCACCTCCAATAATGCTCTAGTCTACAAGAGTTTACGTATCCTGCATTGCCCTTACATGCCAGCCTTTCAACAGCATCAAGGCACCATCCTTGAAAATAAAAAGGCAAATATAACTGTGGTGTTTCAACAGCTGCAACAATGTGAAGACAAGAATGTTACCTGTGGTGAGAGTTTCAACAGCTGCAGGAATGTGGAAGTGTGGAAGACGAGCACGCACAAGGTTCTCCTTAGTCATGTGATACAGTTTATCTGCTGTGTCAGTGAAGAGGCTGTTCTGCTTCTCCAACAATGCCATAATATGCTGCAAGTATACAACCAAGCACGAGACATGTCAGCAGGATATCACCAAAAATAATACAGAAAAACACCAGATCAAAATAATTCCATGAAGGCAGAAGCAAAACCATTTAGGATACAAATAGATTTTAATTTTATTATTTTTACTATTAACACACTGGCCGATTCCCACCAAGGCAGGGTGGCCCGAAAAAGAAAAATTTTCACCATCATTCACTCCATCACTGTCTTGCCAGAAGGGTGCTTTACACTACAGTTTTTAAACTGCAACATTAACACCCCTCCTTTTAATACAGGATAAAAAGGAAACTCTTCAACCCTGAGTCAGATGCTGGGGATGTTATAGCCATCATGGAGGAGTTTCAGAGAAGGGTTTATATTGGAATTGATTGTCCTACATACATACATATACAGTGGAACCTTGGTTTTTGCTTTTATTCGTTCCAGAGAGTCTGACGAAAACCAAATTCGATGAAAACTAAAGCAATGTTTCCCATAAGAAATAATGTATATCCAATTAATCTGTTCCAGACCCCCAAAATATTAACAAAAAATACATTTTATAGAGAATAACTATAGTTTTACATACAAAAAACAATGAGAAATAAATATAAAGAACTAATTTTAATGGATAAATGAACATTTAAATCAGCTTTACCTTCATTGAAGACTCTTGTTGGTGTATGTAAGATGCATGGAGGGAGAGGGAGAAGAGGGTTTTTGTTTGGAAGGTGAATCCCCTTCCATAAAGACTTCAGGTATCAAGTCTCTATCTGGGGTTACTTCCTTTCTTTGTCTTTTACTGGCACTGGACCCCTGTCACACAAAAAATATGTCCAGAGAGGTCTGGTGTAGGTAGCTGGTAGATGTAGGTATGTATTCCACCTGAGCTACATACCTACACCTACATACCTATATAGCTACGTGATATTTAATGCAGCCCAGAGTCATATTATTACCATCGACATACCATGTTCACTTGAGTTTAATCGTTTCTAACAACTACCTTTAGATGCCATCATAAAGGAAGAAGTAATGAATAATTCATGCCGAGAATTGTAAACAAAAGCGTTATGTATTAAGGGGGGTGACTGGGCCAACGCAGATTCATACACGTTTTCTCTGGTGCTAGACCAGAGAAAACGTAATGTTTTCCCTCCACCCAACTACCATCCCTCTATAGCATATAAACATTGCATGTTTATATGCTATGTAATTTGTTTCTTATATACAGTAGACCGTCGTTTAACATGGTTTTATCTGGCACGTTTTGGTTATAGCACAACTGAAGAATTGTGGCATATTTTTGTTTAACACTTTGTAAAATTAATTTAACATGGTTCAGTTTGGGGGAGGGGAAAAATTTTGAGAGTGCGGTCGCCCGTGGGATGGGCTGTGAGTTACACCAGTGAGTCAACAGGGAAGACCTACCACCATCCCCCACCTCCCTCCGCCACCCCCACAGCCAGGTTCAGGTTCATACATTGGACAAATCTGTGCTAGGAGGGAGGAAGCTGTGTTTATTTAGATACATACTATTTTAACTGCCATATCTTAAATCTGTCAAGCAATCATGGCACCCAATAGGCATACAAGTGTTGACTGACTGACTTACTGACTTGACTGACTTACTGACTTGACTGACTTACTGCCTGATTTGACGTACTGACTTGACTGACTTACTGACTTGACTTTCTGACTGAACTGACTGACTTATTGACTTGACTGACTTACTGACTTGACTGACTGACTTCACTGACTTACTGACTGACTGACTGACTTGACTGACTTACTTGACTGACTTACTGATTTACTGACTGAATTTATGCAAACTCCAGTACACCTATCGACTTCAGTACCAGAACCGTACCATCCACTTCTGTCAACAACCAATAACCATCCATCTTGGCCCAGTAGGGCCACACCATCTATATCCACTCTCTCCACAATCATCCACAAACACCATTACCCACAATTTAATGTAAGAAATACTATTATTTCTATTGCACTTGTAGTCTTAAGCAGCAATATATCACGACAATAAACTACAATTACGTATTCACTTTTATTTTTGTAAGATCTGTTGGTCTAAATAAAAGTTGTTTGGCTTTTTGGGGGCTCCCAGAAACGTAACCCTATTTTTCCATAAGTTCTTCAGTTTGTCTAACATGGTTTCGCCTAACACGGCGTTTTCAGGAATGTAACTACCGTAATAAATGACGGTCTACTGTAATTTTGAAGAAAATATCACAGATGGATTAATGAAAATGTCTATATTAACATAAAATAAGACATTTAATGTGCCCGAGAATGATTATTATTACGTATTACTATGGCGTTAAGGCTCTTAAGGATTGTGTGGTCCCATGGATTAAGCCGTCATGAGTTTTCACCCACCATGAGGCAGGCCAAAGCAGCATGGGTTCAACTCCTTGACTAGTTGCAGTGTTGTTATTGATCAATACCACTTGATCATGGGTACAATAATAAAGTGGTACCTCAGGATACGAACAGCTCAAAACTCGACCAATTACGTAAGTGTATTTATGCAAGTGCTTTTGAAAGTGTACTATTGGGGGTCAGAAATGGACTAATCTAATTTACATTATTCCTTATGGGAACAAATTCGTTCGGTATCGGCACTCGAGCAGCCTTCTGGAACGAAAAAAGTTCGTATCCCGAGGTACCAATACACATATATTTCTTTTTCAACACGTCAGCTGTCCCCTACTGAGGCAGGGTGACCCAAAAAAGAAACACTCTCACCATTATTCAACACTTTCACCATTTATCAACACTTTCACCATCATTCACACATAATCATCGTTTTTGCAGAGGTGCTCAGATACTCTAGTTTAGATGTCACTCCAAACAGCCCATGTCCCAAACCCCTCCTTTAATCACTATTTAATCACTACAGTTACCTAACTTTAATATCAGTATGCTCCATAACCTTTGTCAGTATAGAGTAAGAACTAGTATTAGTCTGCCCGAAATGCCTAGACACGATAGTGGCCTTCTTTGTAATTAATATTTTATAATATGTAAACCACACATTGTAATTAATATTTTATAATATGTAAACCACACATTGTAATTAAAATTTTATAATATGTAAACCACACATTGTAATCCTTACAGAGAAATAAATATTTAAATTTCAATTCAAAGTGCAGGCACTGTACTTCCCACCTCCAGGACTCGAGTCCAGCTAACCGGTTTTCCTGAATCCCTTCACAAAATATTACCCTGCTCACACTCCAATAGCTTATCAGGTCCCAAAAACCATTCATCTCTTTCACTCCTATCTAACACATTCACACATTCCTGGTGCATGTCCAAGCCCCTCCTTGTACACAAAATCTCTTTTACCCCTTCCCTCCATCCTTTCCTAGGATGACCTCTCCCCCAGTAGTATGAGTGCATATTATGCACAGCAGACTGTCATACAACATCATAGTTAATTCCTGAAAATGGAAGTTAAAACAAAAAAAAAATTTGCAAAATCGAGAACATTTTTTTTTTTTATTAACACATCGGCCAAGGCAGGGTGGCCTGAAAAAGAAAAACTTTCATCATTTACTCTTGCCAGAGGTGTGCTTACACTACAGTTATAAAACTGCAACATTAACACCCCTCCTTCAGAGTGCAGACACTGTACTTCCCATCTCCAGGACTCAAGTCCGGCCTGCCGGTTTCCCTGAACCCCTTCATAAATGTTACTTTGCTCACACTCCAACAGCACATCAAGTATTAAAAACCATTTGTCTCCATTCACACCTATCAATACATTCTCGCATGCTTGCTAGAAGTCCAAGCCCCTCGCACACAAAACCTCCTGAAGGACATATGGGGAAAAATAGGGTAATGTTCATTAGACCCCCAAAAAAGCCAACCTAACATTTTATAGGTCTCAAAATTGTAAATAACAATGATGATGGAAGGACTCATAATAAAATGTGTAATTGCAAATATGTAAAATGACCAATGTGTTAAAAAACAAAGAAAATAGGAAATAAAAACTGCAACTGAAGGTGGATGTGTAGATGTGCATTAAAGATCCTGCTACCACATCTCTGCTAGCAGAGCTGCTTAATTGTTTGCTTGACCTACTAGTTATAACTATATTTGAGTTATAAAGGACAGGTTAGAGTGGTTGAAGTGTTAAAACAAGGGAGGTTAGAGCAGTGTGGGGGGGGGGGGGGACCAGGGTAAGGATTGGGGGGACTGTTGTTGTGAAGTGGTGATGACTGAACAGTGGAGGGGTGGGGGCAGGAGCTGGTGTTGGGAAGTGGGAGATATGGGTGATAAAGGGGTGTAGTGGGAGGGGAGGGTGGAGTCTGGAAGTAAAAAGGCAGTGCAATGATGACTGTGTGGCAGTACAAGTGTCCCGGGTGTGGCTGAGTGTGGGGTTGTTCGTATGGGTTTATAATGAGGGTGATGGGGGGCTTTTATGACTAAGTGTATGGACTGTTGAAAGCAAAGGGTAAGGTGTGGGAGTGGTGTGGGCTTGAAGGTGTGGGGAAAAGGGTGGTGAGAGTGAAAGCATGAGTATGGTATAGGAGTGGGGCCATGTAGGCGAAAAGCTGTTAGGGAAGATGTTTGCATGAAAGGTATGGGTTTTCAGTGACTCAGTGTGGGGGAGTAGTGATTGGATGATGGGTGACTGGGTGGGTGAGTGTGTGGGGGGAATTGTATGGGTGGGTTGCATGGATGAAGGGTTGTTGGTTGGGATGGTGTGGGTGAAGATGTGTGGCCTTGGGGGGATTATAGGGGCAGGTGGTATGAGTGGGGGCTGTGGGCAGTAAGGGTGAAGTTGCTGGGACATAAGGCCACTGATGGGAGGGGAAGGTTAAATGAGCAGTTAGTGTGGGCAGAGGTGTGTGTCTGGGCAAGGTATGGTACTGGCTGAATGTAGCATGAGATATAGTATTAGACATGTATGAATACAGTAGAAGGTATGGTATTGGATATAAGAACATAAGAACATAAGAAAGGAGGAAC